AGCGGGTGCTGTTGCTTGGGGGCTGTTCTACTTCTGTGTGCGAGGGAATAGCTGTCGCTCAGTGACTGACCCTAACAACACCAACACCCAAACTGACGCCCCTGCACACCCCTTTGGGGGGAAGTGGGGAGGAGTAGGGCACCCTGAAGAGGGGACTCACATGGCAGGGGCTGTGCGGTGGTCGCTGTAGGACTGGGGCAGTCTAGGGGCTGCATACCCTGTGAGAGCCCCAGGAAAGCCCTATGCCCTGCACTCCCAGAAAGCACCTTCCCCTTGTGTACCCCAAGTATTTCTCAAGTTTCACCCAAACACAGATGTACTGAGGACAGAATTTGGGGACTATTATAAGCCAGACCTCACCAACTCTTTGGCGGTTAACACCAAAATAGATTGAGCCTTGTGCCCAGTGCTTCATGAGCTTGATCTCTTCCATCCTCTTAACAACCCATCAGGCCAATATTCTGTTTGTTATTTTTTAAATATTTTTTATTGATTTTTTTACAGAGAGGAAGGGAGAGGGATAGAGAGTTAGAAACATCGATGAGAGAGAAACATCGATCAGCTGCCTCCTGCACACTCCCCACTGGGTATGTGCCCACAACCAAGGTACATGCCCTTGGCCGGAATCAAACCTGGGACCCTTCAGTCCGCAGGCCGACACTCTATTCACTGAGTCAAACTGGTTAGGGCCCAATATTCTGTTATCATCTCCATTCCACAGATGAGAAGCTGAGGCACAGTTAAATCACAGGTCCAGGGCACAGCTGGAATGACACTTCCCTACCATGTGGCACTGCCCCCAAGGCACGGCCCTTATTGTCCCCTACCCAGTGCCTGAGGCTGAAATCCCTGCTCATGACCATCCTGGGACCTGAGGCACGGCCACAGGCATGTCCCAAGTGCCCTTCTCACCTGCTCTATCCTCAGTGGAACCCTGCAAGGCTCTGCCATCCCCACCAGTTGCTTAGGAACACCATCCCTGCCTTCTAGCCTGGGCCTCTCACTGTAGAAACATGAGCCCTTTCTCCCTTGGCCAGGCTAGTCCTCTGGGTGTCATGGGGTGGCCCTGGCAGCCAGTTTCAGGGACAGGGATGGTGATACCGAGAAGCAGAAACAGAAAGGGAGTGAGAGGGGAAAGGCCAGGACAAGGGCCAACTCTTCACAGGCGTCAAGTGGGGAACCTCATCCTGCCCATAGCTGGGTGGATTCCAGGGATAGAGGGAGGTCTAGGCCTTTTCTGTGCTTGGCTGGCTGAGTCCTGGACTTCCTATGTAGGGGTCTAGGGCCTCCAAATTATGGCCCCTGGGTGGGGTAGGAGTTGCAGCGGTCAGTTGGTCCTTCTCTGAATAAACCCTCTAGGGCAGTGGTTCTCAACCTTCCTAATGCCGCGACCCTTTAATACAGTTCCTCATGTTGTGACATCCAACCATAAAATTATTTTCGTGGCTACTTCATAACTGTAATTTTGCTACTGTTATGAATCGTAATGTAAATATCTGATATGCAGGATGTATTTTCATTGTTACAAATTGAACATAATTAAAGCATAGTGATTAATCACAAAAACAATATGTGATTATATATGTGTTTTCCGATGGTCTTAGGCGACCCCTGTGAAAGGCTAGTTCGACCCCCAAAGGGGTCGCGACCCACAGGTTGAGAACCGCTGCTCTAGGGAGTCTGCAGAGGAATAGCCGTGGGCGAGTGTTAGGGATAGGAGTCTGGACACTGCCCAGTGCTATCCCTGATGGGCCCATTTCTTTGGCTGCAAACCTGGAGGAGGAGAAAGGGAAAGTACCACTTTTGGGTGGCTGCTATGAGCCCAGCCCTGCTTGCAGATTTATGTAGCATGTCACAAGAGGCTATCAAGGGTTCTTCCCAGGCTGACAGCCTGTGACTCAGCAAAGTGACCATACCTGTATCCCTGACCAATGTGAGCCGAGCCCTCACCACGCTGGCTGAGGCGCCACACACATCTCACCTAAACCCTTGGCATGGTTCTGTCATCAGTCCCTTTCACGAGTGAGGATTTAGGATCAGAGACATGCGCCCGCCTGCTCAGGATCCTATAACGAGCATGTGGCACAGCCACGGCTTGCTGCCAGGCCTTCACAGGCCCCTCTAAGGTTGGTTCAGGCAGGTTATGGGGGCACAGAAGCAAGCTTATCTGGATCCTGCACTGATCCACCCAATGTGGTACACAAGAGCAGTTCTTGCCTACAGAGTGGCCCTATCAGGGCTTGGCCTGGACTTCCTAGACCCCACAAAAGCGTGTTCTCCCTGGGACCCCTAGTCCCAGGATCTGTCTTTGGAGGAAAACCCACCTGCACCCTCCTCTGCCCTGGCCACAATGTGGCCTGCATAATCCCGAGGGCCAAGAGTGTGCTTCCTGGTGTCTAGCCTAGCTTAATCTTGCTCCTGCAGTACCAGCCCCACTCGAAAGCAGTGGTGCTCAACAAGGAGTGAATGTTGGCCCCCAGGGAACAGTTGGCAGTATCTGGAGCCATTTTTATCTATCACAGCTTGAGGGAGGGAAGTGCTACTGGCATCACGTGGGTGGGGGTAAGAGATGCTGCTAAACATCCTACCATGCACAGGACAGCGCCCACAACAAAGAATTATCCAGCCCCAAGTTTTGCAGTGCTGAGACTGAGAAACCCTGAAGTAAAACATGGGCTTCGGAGCCAAGCAGACCTTGGTTTGAATCCTGCCTCTGCCATTTACTAGCTGTGTACATACCCTTTGCCAAGTGGCTTTACCTGTCTCTGGTGATTGTCCATTTGCCCTTCACCAAAAGCGGCACTAATAGCGGCCTTCATCTTAAAGGGATTTGAGGACTCAACAGATCACACACATTTAGTATCAAGCACAGGCCTGGCATGGGGGGAGCTCCATCACTGAGAGCCATTATTCTCATTTTCCATTTTCCAAGGTGAACCTAGGGTATGGGGAGCAAAGGTCTGGTGGCTGGACCTGGAGCTCTCATCAGCCAGCCCTCCCTCCAGTGAGTGGTGAGCCTATTGTGGATATTGTGGGAGAGGCTGGAGGGAGGGGCCAGAAAGGAAATGTGATCTCAGGTGGGCAAAGGTCAGTTGAAGCTCATCTTGCTCACTCTTCCCAGGGAAGCCATGGGGTGGGGGTGGGAGTGGGGAGGGACCAGGATGAATGCATACAAAATAAGGTCCCTTAGCTCAGCGAACTTCCATGCATTCACAGCTGGGCTTAGGGAGGAGTGGCATGTCAGTGAACACAACCCAGACAGGTAGAGACAGGTGGGAAATGGCATCCTAGCTCTGGGAACAGCATGTCCAAAGGTCTGGTTGTGAGAAGTAAGGTATAAGGCCTGTTTCCCAAAGGGTAGTCCAGTGTGGCTAGAAGGGTCCAGCTTGGTGAAAAGAGCTTACTCCAATGGAGTGGGGGGCAGGCATCAGGGCTGGGAATCTGAACACACCATTTTCAGACTAGGTCCTCCTTCCCAGGTATACCTCCTTGCTAGGGCACCAGGGCCACACCACTACTACCTCCCCACCACCCTCTCACCCCCATCCCCCCAACACACACACACACACACACACACACACACACACAACAGAATTTCAGGATCCACATCTCTGCCAGGTTCTCCATCCCTGGGGGTCACAATGGACATCCTCACCCCTCATCCTCACAGCCCTGTAACCTTCCCTTCTTACCAGGTACCCAGGTTCTCCCATCTAAACAATGTGACAGCCCTTCTGCCCCCATCCAGCCCCTCTTTTGTCCTGCCCCTCTGCTTCATCCCTCCTCCCAGAAGCCCATTCCTTTGTAACAGCTGCCACCATCTGCTCCTTGAGAAGACCAAAGTCCTAGCCATGGCCTGTCTCAGCCATGGCCTCCTCCGTCAGCTCAGGCCTCCTCAGGATTGCCCCCATTTGCATCCCTTAGGCTTCAACTAAAAAGCTGTCTGGACTCTCCTCATCCCCTCTAGGTGGTCCCCCAGGAGGCCTGGGACCTGGAACCCTCTTCTTTGCCTCTGGAAAGTGACATTTCGCCCTGACTGGTTTGGCTCAGTGGATAGAGCGTCAGCCTGCAGACTGGAGGGTCCCAGGTTCGGTTCCAGTCAAGGCCATGTACCTTGGTTGTGGGCGCATCCCCAGAGGGAGGTGTGCAGGAGGCAGCTGATTGATGTTTCTAACTCTCTATCTCTCTCCCTTCCTCTCTGTAAAAAATCAATAAAATATATTTTTAAAAAGTGACATTTCTTCGGAGTATAGAATAGAGCCAAGTCTTGACTTTCTGAGCTCTGGGGGCAGAGGAATAGAGACCCTGGGCCGCACTTCGTCCCCAGACTTCAGTCCAGGGAAGACTCAGTGAGTGAATGAATGAATGAATGAATGAGTGAGTGAGTTATGCCCAACATCCGAGTTCAAGTCTGGGAAGGAAGCTTAGCGCCTGCTAGGGGCGACGGAGAGCTCTGGAAAGCCTGGACAGGAGAGCGGGAGAGCGGGGAATCGGGTAGGGGCTGCTCTCAGAGTCGCCTGACCCGCGGCGGCGGACCAGCTAGAACCTCCCGCCCGGGAGTCGTCCCAGCTCGTCTAGGGGCAGGGCTCAGACAGCCGGCTTGGCGACGGGCACCGAGCCCGGCCTCATCCACATTCCAGCCAACAGGAAGAGAAAGAGAGAGGCCCGGCGAGGCGGGCCAGCTGGCCGGTGGGGAGTCCCAGGCGTGGGCGCCGGGATCTGGGGAACCCCAGCCGGCGCCTCCCGGCCTGGGCGCGTGGGGCTGGGGCTGGGGCAGCGACCCCCGTCCTTGGGCCTCCGCTGTAAAGGGGATCCTGCTAAGGGCTGCTGCACGCACTGCTGGGGGCCGGGGGCGAGGCGCGCCCGGAGGACCGAGAGGCCTAGACCGAGTGATCCGCGCAGAGGGGGGGCGCGGGACCCCCCGCTCCCGGCGGGAGGAGGCGGGGCCTGCGCGGGGCGGGGCCTGCGCGGGGCGGGGCGGGGCCGGCCGGCACCTGGGTGAGGTTGCGCCGCCCCGCCCCTTCGTACTTCCGTGTGCAGCGGCTCGGGAGGGAGGCGCTGCCCCGGGGTCCCCTGAGCGACCACCGCACCCGCCGCGCCGACGCCGGGGTGATACTTCCCCAGCCGCCGGGCCGTCCCGGTCGGGGCCCCCCGACTCCCGCCCGCGCGCACGCCCCGGAGCCGGTCAGGAGCCGGACCCCAGCCGCCGCGACCCCAGGCGCCTGGCCCCGCGCCCGGAGGTGAGTGAGGGCCGAGCCCTGCGCGGGACCCGGGCTGCCCCGAGGGTGCGCCGCCCCTCCCTTCCCCCTCCCCGCGCCGGTTCCCGTTTCCGAAACTGAGAAACAGCCGCGGCCACACCAAGTGCCGCCGCGCTCCGGGACCCGCCGGTGTCTCCGTCCCCCGTCTGTCTGTCTGTCCCTCCGTTCAGCCGCAGGGGTCGAGGCCAGCGCGCCCGTCTGCTCCCGGTCCTTCTGCCCGCCTGCGCCCAGCTCCTCCGAGCGCCCTCCCGTCCCTCCCGTCCCTCCCGAATCCCCGGGATCCTCTCTCCGTCCATCTGTCCCCACCCCCTCCGTGTTCCCCTGTCCGCCCGTCCTTAAAGGAGTCCCGATCTGTCTGTCCTGCGCCCTCCGCGTGCCCCATCGCCCCACTCCAATCCACCTCCCGCCGCCCCTAGATCCTGTGCTCCTCGAGCCGCGCCCCTGGCCCACGCTCGCCCCCAGCCTGTCCCGCCGTCTCTCTGGCTACCGCGGGGCCCAGGCCTCGCCTCCCGCCCCTGGGTCCCTGCCCGGCCCGCGCGGCGCCTCCTCCTCGCTCTATCTCCTCTCAGGCTCGGAGTCTCGGGCTCTCCCTCCATCTGTCTCCGGGCTGGGCGTGGCTCGAGTCTCCGCCACCTCCCCTTCCCGCCTTGCCTGCTCTTCTGCTTCTCTGAGCCCCCTACCCTGGTGGCCCCTTCCAGGACCTGTCTGCCCCCGGCCTCTCCCCAATCCAGACCCCACGCCCGCGGGGGCCCAGCCAAGTGAGGGGAGGTGGTGGGGAGAGCCAGGGTGAAAAGGCAGGAGGCGAGCACCATCAGAACTGCTCCAGTTCCCCAAATCCTCCACTGAGCCCCCCACGTAAACCCGATCGGACAGATTTGCTCAGGGTGGGATGTTATCCCCTTCTCTGGTCCCTGCCTTGCACGCATGGATCCTGTCTCCTGGAGCTGATTCCTCTGTAGCTGGGCTTGTAGGTGTGTTGTGTGTCCGTGTGTGCTTGGGTGTTCTTTGTCGCTGTCTGGAACTTGTCCCTGTGTATCCTTTCTTGCCTGTGTGGTTCGTCTGTGTGTATGTATGTATATCTGCTTGGGTGTTCTGAGGCTGTGTGTGCTGTGTGTGCTATGTGTTGGTGTGTTCTTTATCACCAGACTCCCCTCTAGGTGTTGGTGTGTGTGTGTGTGTCTTTATGTGCCTGTGTATGTGCATCCCTGTGCATCTGGACGGTCCCTTGTAGCACACTGGGTGTGTCATGGTGACCCACTAGCCATGAGTACATTTAAGCTATTGATTGTCGGAGTTCATGGTGCTAGGGTCCCCGCCCACCAAACTCATGTGTGAGTGTATCTGTTTTGTGTGTGTGTGTGCACCAAGGGAGGGGGACTGGTCCCTTGAGTTTCCTCGTTCCCGCTGTGGACTGAGCTGGATTGTGGTGGACAGACCAGCAGAGGGCAGCTGGAGAGAGGGACTGGGTGGAGAGAGAGTGTGTGTGTATTGTGGAGGTGTTTGGACAGCTGTATCTGGCTATAGGGTGGTGGTGTAAGGGATCTGGTGTGTGACAGGACTGGGGCTGGGGGCGAGACTGGCGGTGTGGGCCTATGACTGGTGGGAGACTCACAGTCTGACTGTATGAAACTGTGAGTGTGTGTGCTCGGGGAGTAACTGATTGTGGGGAACCGAGAGTGCTTGGGCGTGGGTGTCAGGAGCAGGAGGGGAGGAAACAAGGTGTGTGGTGCCTGCGGCCTGGGGTGACAGTGCTGGGAGGGAAGGTGAGAGCCCCAGTGTGTTTGGGTGTGTGGGTGTGTGTATGTGCATGTGGGAGGCTGTGAGCGTTTGGGTGTGCATGCAGCACACCAAGCCCAGCCCTGGCTCCTGGGGCGCGGGTCGCTCCCATCTCTCACCTATTCCCCAGGTTGAAAGACACCAGAGGGCAAGGCTTGGGGGTTTGTAGTGTTGTGACTAAGACCTTGGACTCTGGATCCAGGAAAGACTTGGGCACAAAAATCACTGCCTGTTAAGGGACCGGAGCTAGGCCTCCCTAAGGCTGTTTCCTTACGTGCGGAAGGGAGAAAGTTGTGAGGGCTAGAGGGCCTGAGTCAGAGGTCCTTTAGCACAGCTTGGCCCATACTGAGTGCTCAGCACATGCTAAGTCTTATTTGGTGACCACTTACTTTCCTCCAACTGTATGGTCCCCATTCTCTTGGGCGCTGGGGCTAAATAAAAGCCTAGATAGTCCCCCCAACCTAGTTTCTTGCTGGCGATGTATCTGTTGCTCCCCTCCCATCTCCTTGACTAGACTGCTTGTGGGAGGGAAGACAGCTAACTAAGACCCCCCCCCAACCCAGCATATCCCTGTTCATCCCACATAATAACTCCACCCCCCCCGCCCCCAGTCTCAGCAGTAGTGGTAGGGAAAAAGGAGGGGCGGTGACTTGGAGAGGTGACTCCAGGGCACTGACACCATTTAGCTGGCACAGCTAATTGGAGTTTAAATTAAAATTAGAAATAACTTAAAGTACAAACAAAAAGATAAGGATGCCTCAGCCCCAGGGATGGTGATGGGGGTCTTCAGCTGGAAGAGGGGTTCATATCTGGGGAGGGGAATCTTTTGTGGAGGCCTGGCCTGCAGAAAAAGTACTCTGGGCACCAGGGATCTTGTTGCCTTTGCCATTCTTTCCTTCAAGAATCTCTCTGAGGCTCAGTTTTTTGTTTGATTTGTTTTGTTTTTGCTGTATAATGGGCACAGCAGTAATATGAGAATCGCCTCAACTAGAATGTGCAAAGCAAGGAGCAAAAACATGCCACTATTCATTTGTCACTCCCAATTTGAGTCCAGCACAGGAGCTGGCATGCCACATCATTGGAGCCTCAGAACCACGTGGGGAGATGTATTCTCCCCATTTTAAGGATGAGACAAACTGAGGCCCAAAGGAATTCCCCAGGCCACAAAGTGGTCATAATTGATTGCACCCTACTTCTCCCAGGCCCACAGGGCAACCACTTGCAGACAGGAGGATTAGGAACAGAGTTCTTGCTGTTTCTGTATGTAGCCTGGAAAGGCTCTGAGGTCTGAGACAGCGTTCCAACCCCCAGCATGGAGTGAATGCATAACCAGTGCCCTGGAAAAGTTGGGCCCAACACCCTGTTTCACAGAAGAGAAAGTCAAGTTCAAAGAGACCTGAAGTCTTAGGGTCAGACAAGGCCGAACCAGGAGTGTGTTGGTTGTGCTGGGGAGAGCCTGTTTGGTGACGCTTCCCCGCTCAGCTCTTTTCTCTTGTTCCTGCAGGTCTACTGGGAACTGGCCCAGGTGAGGGCAGCAGGCCTACTTCTCCTGGTGGTTGTTGTGTGGTGGCGGTGGTGGCAGGAGCCAGGACTAAGGGCAAGGGGGAGCCGGGAGCCCCAGGTAAGACTAGATCCTCTTAGACAGATGGACAGTGGACAGGGTGGACTTCCTCTCCTTCCGCCCTGGAACTCGGTGGGGCAGCACATAGAATCCTTGGTCTGGGTGTGGGGCCTGGGTGCCCAGAGGGGGCAGCAGTTTGCCCTGCGAATGAGTGCTGCCTGCCTGGAACTGGCTTCTGGCCCAGCAAAGGTTTTGACCTTGGAGCTCAGCAGCCTGGGGCCCAGCAGTACTCTGGGGTGAGGAGTAGTGACACTTTGCTGGTCACTTAGAGAGAAGGTGTGTAAGAGCCAAGGGTTGCAGGTGGGTGTGTCTGCTTTTCCATGGTCGCTTATCTCTGCTTCGGGCTGTCCTCATAATCACACAGGGAAACTGAGGTTTGCCCTGGGTCCTCCACTGAGTGGGTATGACACTAACCTGGGAAGTCTCCCAGCTCCTGGTACAGTGAGCTCTCTTCTACACCCATTCCTGCATCTCCCCAGCCTCTTTGGGGCCAGAGGAGGGATTCGAAATCTCCCTCCCCAGCCTTCAGATTCAGGATGAGCTGGGCAGAGTTGCTAAGGGGTAATGGGGAAGGCTGCCGTCTCTGGGGCCCCTTACAAAGCTAGAAATTCTTTTCTTTGCAGCCAGCCTTGCCTCCTTCAGTTCCCATTGTAAGGAAGACAGCCCTGTGAACTTACCCATTGGGTGTCAGATCCCAGTGAGTGGGATTCTGGGGCATGGTGGGAGATACTGAGGGCACAGAACCCAGGGAGTGACAGTGGGGAGGGGTGGCAAAGGTGGTCTTTTCTCCAGGAGTCCTTTCTGATCATTTCCCCATTCCCACCCCTCTGGCTGTCAAATACCTACAAGTCTTGGGGGTCAATAGACAAGTGGGCCTTACTAGGGGGTGGGGTGCAGGGGTGGGAGTGGGGGGCTGAACGAAAACAGGGTCTCCACTAGGTCTTCTGTTTATTCGACCTACCTGCAAACCTGGTGGGGAGAAGGTGATGTGCTCTTGGCTGCTGGGCCTATGCTATCTGAGTTCAGGGGCCCCTCTCCTCTGAGCACTGAGCCTCATTCCCTAAGAAGTTAAGTTAATTAGCCTTGGAGCCAGCACACTTTCTTTAAAAAAAAAAGAAAAAAATTTTTTAATTGATTTTTAGAAAGAGAGAAAGGGAGACGGTGAGAGAGAAACATCAATAGGAGAGCAAAATATCAATCGGCTGCCTCCTGCAGGTACCTCACTGGGATCAAGCCCAAAACCCAGGCATGTGCCCTGCCCAGAATCACACTACCAACCCTTTGTGCACAGGACGAAGCTCAGCCAACTGAAACACACCAGCCAGGGCAGAGCCAGCCCACTTTCAACTCTAAAATATTCCCGACCTAGCCCTAGCTGGTTTGGCTCAGTGGATAGAGCGTCAGCCTGTAGACTGAAGGGTCCCGAGTTTGAATCCGCTCAAGGACATGTGCCTGCGTTGCAGGCTCAACCCCCAGTAGGGGGCATGTAGGAGGCAGCCAATCAATGATTCTCTCTCATCGTTGATGTTTCTATCTCCCTCTCCCTTCCTCTCTAAAATCAATGAAAAAATATTTTTAAAAAATAATAAAGAAATAAAATAAAATATTACTGACCTAGTTGGCATAGACCAGCCGTGGGCAAACTACGGCCCGCGGGCTGGATCCGGCCCGTTTGAAATGAATAAAACTAAAAAAAAAAAAAGACCGTACCCTTTTATATAATGATGTTTACTTTGAATTTATATTAGTTCACACAAACACTCCATCCATGCTTTTGTTCCGGCCCTCCGGTCCAGTTTAAGAACCCATTGTGGCCCTCGAGTCAAAAAGTTTGCCCACCCCTGGCATAGACATATACTCACAAAAATTGAGGCTGCACTTGGCACCCATGCCCACAAGTGCCTGCACATGCACGTGCGCATGTGTACACAGGTGTTCACATACACTCACCCACAGGCATGCTCCGACATGCACACAGATGCTCACCCAGTCACCATGCACTCAGATGCCTGCCCACACACCACACTGTGCCCATTCCGGGTCAGGAAGGGGGGATCCTTGGTCAGAGTCACAGCCCAGCTTGTATCTGGCACTGAGAGTGAGGTTTGAGGGCGGCTGTGACCACAGGTGCTCCAAGGGCGGGAACACAATGGAAGGTGGGCTCTGCCCAGGCATTCACGAGCTATCCTGCCCAGCTGGCCCAGTCCTCCAGGCTGATTAGGGCTTGGCAATGGAGTTGGAGCAAGGGTGTGGGGGAAGGGCCATGTCAGCTGTGCCGGCACCGTTTGTGGCTGCTGCCACAGAGGAGGAAGTGGGCTGCCTGTGGTCATTGGGCCACGGTGCTCACAGGCTGGGGAGGGGGGGTCCCACTGTTCTTCAGGGTCCCACAGCGTGCATGCCTGGTGGAAGTGGAGGGCGGGAATGCAGAAAGGGTCCTTCTCTTGGGCGGTCTGGGCACTTTCCAAGGACTGGGGCCCAGGGGAGAGGCCCGTCTATCCGAGGGGTTTCCGGAGGCTCACTTCCTCTGGGCTGCCCAGGATGTGGCTTCGTAGCAGGACTGACCAGCCTTCCATCTGAGGCTTGCCCTGCGGCCTTGCCTGTGAGGGAAACAGCATTTGGCCAGTGGATTAGGCCGACTGACCAGGCTTTCCAGTGCCAGGGCTGGCCAGGTCTTGATGGAGGCTCAGGGAGCCCTCTGCCATGAAACCCTCCACAATCCTGGCTTCAAGGCAAGGCTCGGAGCGTTAGGTCCGCAGGCACAGCCCCCTGCGTGTGAGTGGCCATGGCTGGGCTGCATCTCTGGGATGAGGTGGCTCCAAGCAGTTGTATGAATGAACCCGGGCAAGTAGCTTTGATGCCCAGTGCCTCAGTTTCCCCCTCTGACAAATGAGAGAATGATAGCCTTTGCCTTCATGGGGTTGTGCCAGAAACAGCAGATAATGCATGCAAAGTAGCTAGCACTGTGCCGGGCACATTGTTAGTAGTTATGTAAAGCACTTAGCACCCGGTTCATGTAACTGTTCACGACACGGCGAGTGGTGCTTGCTGGGGTTATTATTTCAGATGGCCTGGGCACTGGCCCAGTGTCACAGGGCCAGGTGGCTGAGAAGCCGGGCCCCTGGCTCCCTTCCGCCCCCTGGATTCTGCCTTCAGAGGCCATGCTGGAGTGGGAGGGTTCCGTGGGTTCGGTAGGTTCTGTGTTCTCTGAGAAGAGGAGCTCCAGGGTGAAGCAGCTGTGCCCACTCAGGGGCCCAGCCCCCTCCTGCTCTGCTCCCCCTCGCTCTCTTTCAAAGAGAGAAAAATAGATCTCATGACAAATAGAGGGGAAAGGCAGTCGGAAGCTGCCTGCTGCCCCCTCAGGCCTCCCCCCCGCCCCCCGACTTCCCCGCTTACCTCATCCCCCTCCCCACTCTGCCCAGGACATTGGGCTTGGAGAAGCTGAGGCTGGCAATGAGGGGGTGGATGGTGAGCCCTCCTGCCAGCCTGCCTACACTTCAGACCCCTGGAGTCAGTCTTTGGACTGGGGATGGAGGCGGACATCTGGGGCTGATGGCGGCTAGAGGAGTGGGGAGAGCTAGAAATACCCGCCACACACACATCCTTGACAAATGCCAGTGGATGGCAGGACCCTGCCTGTCTCTCAGAGAAGGTTGAGCTGAGCTTTGGCCTTTGCTATCCAGCGCCAAGGGGCTTGGGACCTCAGGTGTGGGAGTGGTAATGATGGTGGGGTAGTTGGCAGGTGCTGGGAGGCTAGAGGGCTGGAGATTGGCATTTCCCCGGGCTAAGAGTGTGAGGGCATCCTGAAGGTTTAGGAGCAAGACCTCTGCAGGCATCAGACAGACCTGGGTTCACGTTCTTGCTGGATATGCACTGGCTATGTACTTTTGAGCCAGGGACTGGACTGTTGTGAGCCTCAGTTGCCTCATCTATGAAATGGGTCATTGTGACCAGGGCAGAGGAGTAAAGGAAGGCAGTGGCTGAGGAGGTCAGGGAGGTAATGAAGGAGGTTGGGTGGGGCAGGACAGGAAGCGGAGTCTGGGTTTATCAGATGGGGAAATGGGGAACACTGGAGGCTTAGACAGGGGGTGATGAGATCTTAAAAGACCCACCTAATTACTGAGGCAGAAGACTGTGGGGGCCAGACCAGAGGATGGAGAGCAGTGAACAGGCAGGTGCAGGGCCTGGGGCGGTGGGGGTGCAAAGATGGGGGCAGCAGGCGGAGAGAAGAATGGACTTCAGGATAGACTGCAGAGGCAGAAATGATGGTGTGGCTGTGTAGGGAGGAAGGGGGAGGAGGAAAATGACCCCCAGGTGTCTGGCCTGAACTACTGGGCAAGCACTGGTGCTGCTGGGAGATGGGGGCACTTGGGTGGGGAACACCAGTAGGTCTGTTTTGGATGTATTTGAGAACCTCTAGATCAGTGGTTCTCAACTTTCCTAATGCCGAAACCCTTTAATACAGTTCCTCATGTTGTGACATCCAACCATAAAGTTATTTTCGTGGCTGCTTCATAACTGTAATTTTGCTACTGTTATGAATCGTAATGTAAATATCTGATATGCAGGATGTATTTTCATTGTTACAAATTGAACATAATTAAAGCATAGTGATTAATCACAAAAACAATATGTAATTATATATGTGTTTTCCGATGGTCTGAGGCGACCCCTGTGAAAGGGTCGTTCGACCCCCAAAGGGGTCGCAACCCACAGGTTGAGAACCGCTGCTCTAGAGCGTGGTGAGGTCAGGGAGGCAGGTGGTTCAGGAAGGTCTGGGCTGAAAGCCAGGAGGTAGCATGCACAGCCCAGGCTGGGGAGGAGAGGGTTCAGCGGGCCTTTGGTGGAGGCTCTGGGTCCAGGTCCAGATGACTGTCCTTTGAAGGTCCCTGCCAAGGTGCCCGGGAGGGCAGGCTTGTGGTGGCTGAGCTGCTGTTTTCACAACAGCCCCGGAAGCTTTGGATCATGTCTGTGGCTGTGTTGGGTAAACAGGTGCAGTGGAG